TTTTTCCTGCTGGATTTATTTTCCCACATTATATATCACATGGCGTAACTGGATATCAATTTTCAGGTAATGGTTTCACTAACTTCATTCTGGAACTGACTTTTCCAGAACCAAATCTAAATTCTCCAATCTGGAACCGACATTTCCAGAACTGAATCAAAATTCTCCATTCTGGATTTCGGCTTTCAAATTAGCCTCCAGAAAAAAATCAAACTGCGTTTTTAGGTAGGGAAGTATTATCTGTACACTCCAGTATGTGCCTGCAAAGCTTTGTAACATATATTTATATTTCAGCTTCCTTTTGAAAGTGAACTTAGGTTTGAAACCGACATTGAAGAAGACGAAAGATGCCTCAAGAAGGTTCTCCTAGAGGCAGCAGAGTTGGCCACCTTCCCTTACTGTCCCCCAGCCCTTAACACTGTCTGCAATACCAACGAACCACGGGGTCTTCACAATCTTCTGCTTTCGCACCCACACCATCTGACAATGACGCACCATGCCTGAAGGGGATCATGTTTTCAAAGGAAGAACTGTGAACAGCCGTGTCTAAGATCAAGCCATCACAATGCCCTTGTCCAGATGATGTGGCACCTGCCTTTTACAGGATGATAACGCAGTACAGTTTGATCCCTCTCTCAGCTGTCTACTTCAGAGTATTTTCGATGAGGGAGCTGTTCCTACCACTTGGCAACACACCTTAGTCACCCCTATTCGCAAAAAAAACGAGAAGCCTACAAGTGATGTCAAGCATTAGCGTCCAACCTCAATAACATTAATCATCTACCGCACATTAGGATGCATAGTGAACAGTCAGCTCCTCGATTTTTAGAGAGCACTAGATACTTATCGCAGACACAGCACGGTTTTAGGCATGCCCGCAGCTGTGGGACGGCCCTGGCGACCCCGTGTCATTTTGTGAGCAACAATCTTGGCAGTCGCAAAAAGAGAGATTTTGTACGGCTTGATCTCAGGTACGCGTTCGACGCCCTCGATATCGATCTCCTGCTACATAAAGGGTCAGGCGCCAGTGTTCATGGTTTCCTGCTCAAGTGGCTGCCAAACTAACTGAAAGGAAAAATCCCACAATTTGTTTACCAAGGTGTGCACTGAGCTACGATGAACGTCCCCTCCAGTGTACCACAGTACCGGTTTTTTGTCAATGACATGCCTCAGGATGATAGGTTTCTTTTCGTCCAGTACGCAGACCACACCTCGATACTGGCCCCACTTACCGACACCTGCCTCCTCCTCCAGGACTACATCAAAAACATAAAGTGCCGGGTGACTGACAACTGCTAGCGGCTGGACACCACGAAAAGTGTCGTGATGCGCTTTAGCAGGCCCCACAGGGTGGACAAATCTGCTATCATTTGCTCAGCGAGCCCCTACCATGTATGACTCTTTGCCAAGCTTAGAAATTACATTCACCCAAACACTAGATTTCACAGTGCACATAGGACGTGTTGTACCAAAGGCTTGGCGAACCTTGGGGGTTGTCTCTTGGGTCTCCAGGTCATGGGGACCTTCGCCATAATTTCCGGTCATAAGGTGCATAAGACACAGATTTCCAGAAAGATGAGAGGAGCCCCAAAAGACCAGTTCGACCACTTCGAAGTTTCCAAAACTTGCTTTTATGCAGAATGGTCCAACCAGCATCACAAAACCCTCTGCCATTGCCACTGATGCTTGCATCGTCGCCAAAGTTTCAAATCGAGGGAATAGGGAGCATTTGTACATGACTTAATTTTCGCGGGCTCCATTTTTCGCGAATTCGACTGAAGCTGAAGAGCTGGAATAATTAATTGGTACTCATTTTTGCAATCCGCAAGGACCTCACTACAGCTTTCTGTGTGTTCACATTCCAGCCAAATAGTACGTGAGACCTATTTTTTGCAAAATGTAGACGATTCGTGAAAATTAGGTCTTCGTGAAAATTAATTTGTTTCCAGTATACAGTGGTACTAGTTTATTAATTTCTCGTGACGGGCATGAAGGGGGCCAGATGGAAGGCGGATCATTATAATAAGGGTGACGAAGTTCATGCCCCAATAGGCTGGGACACATCACAACAGATATAGTAGTCGGTAAGTCAGAGTCATATAGGATCACAAAGACACTCAACGTTATCTCTGTGTCTCTTGTGCTCCGAAAAAAAGAGCTAGATTTTCGTCACCCAATACTGCAAGCTTAGTGGCAGTGCAGCAGCTGCCCGCCGCTTGGCGCATTCTTCACTCCCATCCGCTAAAGGAGAGGAAGAACACATACCTACTTAAGCCTTGCACGCTCCATTTATTCCTAACCTTACGTGACATGTGATACATAACCTTACACTATTGGTTATCATTTTTTAATCATGCTGGCCTACTTAGCGCTTGTATGATCTAATTAGGCCTAAACTTAGGTGACACATAATCCCGTAACCTGCGTAATTAAGTAACTTATGCGGTCATATAATGTTATGAGATCATGTGCCATATTAAGAAATTTGGCGGTGCTGCTAGTACTCTCCTGAAAAAGAAACCGTGGATATAAAACCCCATGCTTGGATGCAGCTATGAACTCTTGCTGATGGCAGAGTGGTTAAAGCACCACCAGTGATGTGATTGGCCTCAGCCGTTTTGGAGCAGCCAAAACGGTGTTTTGGAGCAGCAAAAGTGGCCTTTGGAGCAGGCAAAACTGTGTTTCGGAGCAGAAAAAGTGGCTTTTGGAGCAGATATTCTTAAAAAAATAAACATATTCCTTTTAAGTGCTGGACGAACAAAGGACACTTCACTCGCCGCAATAAACGAATTATGGTCAAGTTTGACCACCTGGGGGTCTTTCAACATGTAACTGAAATGCCAATGACATGACACATTTTACAATGCTTCAGTTAAATTATACATATATACGTAACATTATAGATAAATAAGAACCAAACTGCACATATTAAAATTGATTTGAAAATGACCAGCTTATTAGTAAATATCACAGCATTAGGTTGACTACCGTAGTTATCTAATAAATGGAAGCTCTCTTTGACGGATGAAACACGTAACTACTGCAGTGCAATTCAAAATTGTACACAAGACAAAGGTGCATTAAGACTAGCGGGTGTTTTTCTTTTTGCTTTTCGAAACTTTCTACAAGGCTGCTGCAAGCCTCTCTTTGCCTTTGGCTCTGCTCTGTTTCATGTTATGATGTACCGGAGGAAAGGCTACAAGCGCGAGCTTCTTGCTCAGGGCACATCTCGGCGGCACAAGCTCTCGTGCAGTAAGGGCAGCTGCCAATGCTATGAGCTCGCGCTTCTAGCCTCCGCTGCGGTAAAACATAAGGTGAAACAGAGTATAGTAATGAATTCCCACTTTCAATGTCCCCAAAGAGACATTGAGACATTCCCCAAGTGAACAGTGCTGTGGCCGCTGCCGAGCAATTCCGAAAAACCACTTGCCACCGTTTTACTGGTTCCCGACGTGCCAGATTTTTGTCAAAAGTAAGCAAACGTAAAACAATAGGTTGCAAGCGTCCCGGCTGGAGCCTCTGTCGTGCAGTCATGTTCGCATGCACATGAGGGCAACTTCTGCAGGCTTGCATTTGCACGTGCTTGGTCGCGCGAGCGGAGATGGCTGTTCGATCGAAACAGACACCATGCCACTCCGCTCCGTCGTCAACTGGTTCCAAAATTGTGCGCAAAACGTAATTGTTCAGCATACGACAAAAAACAGCAGTCCAGCAGCACGTGCTTGCCAGGCCGGCAGGCGAGGTACAAGCTAAGCACACAGAAAAAAAGGGACCATCGCGAGTCAAGGTCAAAAAGTACTTAGAGCACTTTGTACAACGACTGAAGCACTGAAACGTCAACGCACGCCCGCGTCTATCGTTGAAATTTTTTTTAAAAAAGACGCGAGACGAAACACATGCACCGCATGAACCACTTGAACAACGGGAGCGTGAAACGAGAGGTGGCGGGAAAAACTATGCAAGGCCAGATGATCGACTGATACAGGGTACTTTTTGTTGGGCGGCCGCTTGCGCTACCTAGCTCATGCACGCTCAATTACGGTACTCAGTTTAGTTTCGGTTTTGAAAGACGACCAAAATTGGTCTTTTGGCGCAGGCTTGGCGCAGATTACCCATATCTTGGCAAAATGTAGCAGGATGTAGCAGGGTTAGCCCCTTGGCGCAGTTTGGCGCAATTGGCGCAGCAATCACATCACTGCACCACGCTCCAAACTGTGGGCTCATGTGTTCGAATTCAGTCGAGAGCTACCAGTAAATTTAGTTCAAATTTATATTCAATTTAAAGGCTCATTACGTGTAAATGAGAGGAGAAGGCTGGGAGGGGGAAGATGGCCGCTGGTCCCTGTGGACGGAACCTAAAGCGATATGACCGACACACTCTGCAATGGCCTCTGGTCGGTGTTGACGCATTGTGATCTCTGCCCAGTGCTCTGAATGTAAACGTGAAGAGATTCATCAAAGCGCGGGTAAAGAACGGGAGTAACTATGACTCTCTTGGTGCCCCTTGTTTACGTACCGCCATACCAGGTATGGCACTGCATAGATTGTTGGCACTGGGCACGTCATCGCATCCTGCGTGCGCCATGGCCTTGCAGTTGCCGCACATGGTCGACTTGAAGGACTGACTAGAACGGTTGTCCATCTTTAAGGGCAAGGTGCTTCGATCTAGGGGTGCTGTATCCAGGTTTTGGGCAAGAGAGTGGCACAAGAGTGCAGACGGTGCTGCTCTGAAGAAGTGCTCATGTGTACGGTCTTCTCAGGCGTGGGTTGGAAAAGGTACACGTCCGATGAATGGAAAGAGGTTCATTGATTCGGTAAAGACCAGGGCAAATGCCCTTCCTCACCTGACTAGGACTAAAAGGGGTCGGGACGTCCAGACTCGTTGTTAAGACGGTTGGGACTCCGCAGAGTCACTGGGACATATTACGCAAAATTGCTTCCGCACGCACAGTGCCAGAATCAAACGACATGATAGTTTAGTGCAGTATGCTCCTGGCCATCTGAAAGAAAAGGGATGGGAGGTGCTGGTAAAACCTGAGTGCCACACCGCAACACAGATATATGTGCCAGATCTCGTTAATGCAAGAGGTGGTTAGATGACTGTGGTTGATGCACAGGTGGTGGGTATGTATTCCACCCCAGATGCCGCACATGAGCAGAAGGTGTAGAAGTATAGTGTTCCAGAGCTTCTGGATGTTATTAAAGGGGCCAATAGTGTTGCACCGGTTGTGACTAGTTTGACTACATATCACATATATATCACGTGTTTGGTCGCCAAAAAGTGCTTCAGCTCTTACCAATCTTGGGTTTGGTAGACAGTATATTAAGATATTGACTATACTTTGTCTTCAGGGGGGGTCAGGTGCTTTCGTCGGCATCAGCAGATGACCTCCGTGGTGCACGGACGATAAAGCGCCCCGGCGGTTGTGTGTTGCCATGGGGCTATTGGTGGGTCCCTCTCCCTTGGAGAGGATAAGGACTTCCAGACTTGATGCCGAAGATCAGCCTGATGCCTCTGCAAAGGGGTGGGCGAGAAAACGATTTTTGTGCACAAGTCCAAATTATAAAAAAAAATGCCAAATGCCTTGGGTACCTTGCGGGTAAACAGAAAGTCAGCTTCGCTTCGGCCGCGCTTGGTTAGCGTGCCGAGTTCCCGGTGGTCGCGCCTTCGGCCGGGTCTGCACGCCTCCGAGACTACCGCGTGTTCCCGGGCACCACCCGCTACCCCCCGCTGCTCTTGGAAGGTTCTCAGGTCCACAGAGCACAGTTTCAGCACCTCTCCAATTGTGTGAGCAGCCGGCCGCTGAGGCCTTCTTCACCCCGTAACGGTCGCTCGCTTTTTGGCTGCTGGAGTTAGTGCTAGGTGCTAGTGGACCGCTGGTTCCTACACTAAACGTTTTTTTTTTTCAGTCTCCGTGCGTCGAACCACGCACAAAAGTCTCTGGTCCCACTGCCATCGTTCTTTTTTTTTTTTGTGGCAGCTCTGCCAGCTTCCAGTTCGAATTTTGCACGCTAACTGGGAGCGTATGCAACTTTGTTTAGTTGCGCCAGCCATCGACAGAGGGCGGTACGTTCCACCCGTGGATTTCACCCCCTCTTTTATACTAGCAGCAGAGAAAAGTCTTTTCACTTTTTTTTTCTCTCTCTTTTAGCAACATTTGAGGGGTTTTTCGTTTGTAATCGAGCGCCATTCGGCATTTTGGCGTGATAAACTTAGCTCTTTTCTTTCTTTTTTTTTGTGCTTCGGCATGCAGCTTTGTGGATCGGATCTACGCTTTGGGGCTACGCGGGGTACCACTAGCTGGTTTTTACTACACGTAGTGGCGTAGTCTGCAGGGCTAGTATAGTCTAGTGCTCTGGGGAAATTTGTACCTTTTGAGCAAGTCTCTGTGGCCTGTAACACAGGCCACATTACCAGGCACTCCCTCTCGGCCTCACAGCCTATCCTTAATTACAAATCCCCTATGCCGCAAGCAGCTGGGGGAATAGTGTTTCAATTTTTTTCCCCTTATTCATTTCAGCATGTCAGGGACTCATCCATCACCTAGCGCGTTAGCAACCACTGAGAGGCTGTATCCCCCAGAGGAGATTGTCTGCCACCTGTGCGACAAACGACTAACTTCCTGCATCTCTCTGGGGGAGCACTACGAACATGTTCATAGTTGTCACTTCTTATGGAGGTGCTCCAATTGCCTCGCAAAAACGTATACCGAGAGCACCTCCATCTCGTCTCATTACACAAGGTGTCGGAAGAAACCATTAGTATCGCCCGCTTCAACCGTAGTGACGAACGCCGACTCGCACAGTGCAGCCAACAACGAGCTTCCGCAGGCTCCCACTCCTTCCCCTGCAAGTCACACCGAGGAGAAGGAGCACCCAGAGTTCTCCCAGGACTCCGAGAGGGCAGACATGTCGATGCCCTTCACGACCAGCACCCCTGCCTTGCGTCTCCCACCAGCAGGTGACAGGACCACGGAGGACGTCAGGACTTTGGCGGTTTAAGAATTGTCGATGCCCGCCAAGATGAAGTTTGTCAACAAAAAACTCGCCAAGGGGTACGCACGGGTACCTTGGCAAACCATCAAGGGCATCAGGGGGCGGAAGTTGTATAGAGACTTGCTATAGCAAGAACAGCTGCGGCGCAGGTTACCTCGGCCGGACTCCAGGGTTCCTGCACATGGTGAGCCCCCCACTGCCACTCCAGGGGGACCACTGCCATCAGTGCAAGATTCCTCCGGCCTGCAGACGGACATACCCTCATCACCCCTCACCACACCAAGACCACAGCGGTGAAGCGAGAGGTCCATACATCATTCTCCAACCCCGGTCACCGCCCCGAGATATCCCCCCTACACCAGAAGCAAGGCCCTGGACAGAGAGGGACATTCAGGCACTCGAGCTGTGCGAGCTCCAGGCTTCTCTGTGCATGCATAGTGACGACAAGCTCGCTGCATTGATGCCAAGAAGAACATGGCAGAGCGTTCGGGACTACCGCCCGACGCCCCAGTACGCAGAGGCAATGCGCAGGGAGCTCTGCATGCGACGGGGAAAGGATGTCTCACCCTTACCCCAAACTTCATCACTTTGTGGCCACTCACCAGACACCCCGCCAACTGTCATCGTTCCTGCTCCCTCTGCTGAATCCGTCATCGGAGAGGTCACACCTACGTCGGCATTGCAAACTCTCCTCCACCAGCAGAGTTCAACGCGCGGTGGACCATCTCGGAACTGACGGCACTGGCCAGGGCAGAGATCACCTGCAGGGACCACCCTCATATGAACCTTGCTTTTGCCAGGACATTCACCACCCAGTCCTGACAGGGAATCACAGGGCAGTGAAATACACGCCGTTACAAGGAGATCCTGGAGACCTTGAAGGCGGCGGCACACAAGCAGCCGGTTCCTATTCAACCAGTCCGCGTTCACGACGCCGGATCTGCCCGGGTGCATCCGCAGCCCGCACCAGGATCCCCTGTCACCATCGCTCACGGGTTGCTGGACCCCATCAATATAGGAGAAGACCTGGGGAGAGGGGGCATTAACAACACCAGGCTTGAGAAAGCAACCTTTAACCGAAACCGACCAGCATGGATGGCCGAGGTTAACATCATCACGAATCACTTCAACATTTCATCAATGAAAAATGGGGGCACCGAGGGCAGCAAGAAAAAGAAGTGCCGTTCAGCCAAGAACCGTAACCAGCGCCGCCGCGAACGCTATGTAGAACATCAACGGCTGTACAGTCTGGGGCCTAAGCTGCTCGTCGACGAGATGCGGCTGGACTGGGCTGACCCAGCAGTCCTCCTTGGGGAGCTCCACCGGGTCTACGACCTTGTGATGTCTACGCCATCAAGGCCGGTTGACGGGTTCATAACATCCGAACCCGTACTCAACGTAGAGGTGGAGCCGTTCACCGACGGAGAGCTCCAAGGAGTGCTCAAGAACGCCGACGCAAAGACTGCCACTGGCCAGGACAGCCTTACCCTGAAGAAGGTTTCCAGATTCCACCAGCCATTCTTGCCATCATTTTCACCAACTGGTTGGCCTTCGTTACGCTTCCCGAGGACCTCAAGGTGGCCAAGACAGTTTTCATACCCAAGTCCCGCTCGACCACTACCGGCGGAGACTTCAGGCCCATCACCATCTCATCCATCCTTCTGCGCATCTACACAGGGGCGCCGCTCCGACGGTTCGCGCAATATCACGTCTTGCACAACCTCCAGGGTGGATTCGGCGACGACAGGAGCACTTCATCCAACATCATCATTCTTCAGGCCCCCATGAAGGCGAGGAAGCAGGCTTGACAGAGCTTCTACAGCCTGAGCTCGACGCCCGGAAGGCCTTCGATACGGTCAGTCATAACGCAATCATTGAAGTCCTCAAAGAAAGGGGACTGCCACCTCAGCACATCGAGATGTCCGCAACCTATATGCCGGATCATCAACAACATTCTGGTTCAGGGGGGTCACGGACGACGTTACGGTTCCCGTGAGACAGGGGATTAAACAAGGGGATCCCCTGTTGCCCTTTCTTTTCAACTGCATCCCGGACTCCTTTTCACCGACCTCAACTGCAACTCCGCCGGCCTGGACGTCGGTGACGCCACCATCGGGGCACTTGCCTTTGCCGACGACCTCATCCTCACCTCATTGAGTTATGAAGTACTTAAGTCCCTTTTGAAGTCCACCGAGCAATACCTCGCCGAGGTGGGCCTTTTCCTCAACCCAGACAAAACCATTTTTTTGGCTGGAGGGCTTCCTCGGTGGCAATCAGCTACGACCTTCCATCAATCACCGTGGCTGGCACCCCCATTCATTCAACACCCATCAACTAACCCATCCGGTACCTTGGCATTGACTTCTTCATCAACAAGCGGCCTGTCATTCATTCACAACTTGCCAAGGACGACCTCATTCTCATTGAATCATCATCCCTCAAACCATTTCAGAAGCTGCGCTGCATCAACACCCTCGTCATGCCCAACTACCTTTACGCAGCTCTTTCCATCTTGGGTTCACCCGGGAATCAAGGCACCTCGTATCCGCATCAAGACAATACTCCATCTTCCACTATCATTCCCAAAAACCCACATGCACCTCGCAGCACGGGATGGAGGACTAGGCTGCCTCAACATAGAGAGGGTGGCCTAGGAGGTGCAGCTCAAGGCACTGGCGAGACGTGTTCGCCTGGGCAAAAGGGCCGTCGACCATCTCCTGAAACCCACCATGGGGCCATACCACTGCCGCCTCGCCTCCCAGCTGCGAGTGCCACCCGACCTGACAGACACCAAAGAACTGACCGCCGCCCTTGGGCAGTCCAGGAAGGATTGGTGGAGGGATACCCAGGCAACCTACCAGAATAATGATCTTTTCGCCCATCAAGATCAGCCCCTGGGGAACACCTGGCTGCAGCACGACTCGAAGCATGTGAAGGACGGAGACCACATTAAGGCGTTGCGTCTGCGGATCAACACCTACCCGACCAACGCCTTGCTTCATCATCATAACTGAGATCCGTCCGCCCGACTCTGCAGGAGGTGTCATTATTCATTAGAAACCCCATTTCACATACTCCAAGAGTGCGCACCCATTAAGCTCCCGAGGATGGAGCATCACAATTTCATTTCCAAGCAAGTATACCGACTTGTTAGCAAGTATAACCGCGAGGCAATCATCCACACAGAGCGGCTCATCACGAGCCCGGGGGGCATCTGGCTCAAACCAGACATCATCATCTTGGACGGCGACACGGTCATCATCGCTGACATCACCGTCTCATGGGACGATTGCCCACAATCATTGCAGAGGATGTGCGACTTCAAGAGCGCCAAGTATGACTGCCTGCGGCCACTGTACCCTGATAAGGTCGTGACGGCAGCCGGCTTGGCGTTCGGAGCGCGCAGCATGCTCTGCACGGGAACCGTCCGGGGAGGAGCCAGCCTAGGGATCCCCAAGTGGGACATGGCCTGGCTCGCTTCACACGCCCTTGTCGGTGCCCTCATCTGCCTCAACAGATTCATGAAGGCATAGATCCATCACTCATCCGGGTTGGTTGGGAAGCTCGCCCACCACCCTTTTTTTTCCCCTTGAATTTTTATACAAATTCGGCATACCTGACAATGGGTTTTGCAGTTCCTGCGTTTTGTTTCGTGTTTTGAGTTGTGTTACTTATTGTCATTCTCACTGTCGGAGTGTTTATTGTGCAATTTCGAACCTGCGGAGTGTGTTCCAGAGGCATTGGAGCTGTTTCGGCAATGGTGCTCAGACCTTAGTACCAAGTTCTGAATGGTTGATTTCAGCAATGCTGAAATTAATGCCATTTCCACTGTCTTTCCCGACAGCCGTGTTTCTCTTTGCGACTTTCACCGCGAGCAAGCTTGGGAAAGGTTCTGCAGAAAGAGGGAAGATGGGGTAGCTGACAAAGACGCACTGCTGGGTCTCCTTCGTACACTTGCGCATGCCAGTTCTGAAGACGATTTTAATGCTGCAGTCGAGTGCCTCAAACTTCCCCCATCTGGAAATCGAATCGAAAGCTGCAAAGCTATGTGGAGGGACAGTGGTTAGATGTAAAAGAAATGTGGGCTTCCTGCTTCAAGAGTGAGCTAACTGTTAGAACTAATACAGAAGCCCAAAACAAAATGCTCAAAGAGCACTACTTAAAATGCCACAGTGGACGAAAGAGCCTGACAGGTCTGCTGCAGACGATGAAGACTTTTCTGAGTGTTAGGGAGAAACATTTCTCAAAAGACAACTTGCACTTCTCCTCAGATTACAGAGTTCATCACTCGTCTGTACCAACATTCCTGCACAACAGGCCTCGCGCCGTGGTCAAACACATAATGGCAAGTCTACATGCTGCCGGGGACATTGATGCGGACCACATAATGACAGATGAACCTAGTGGCATATTTCATGTTCAAAGTGCTGCATCGGCAAATGCTTCTTACCTTGCACAGTTCACCACAACGAGCTGCAGTTGCCCAAATCTTCAGAAGACGAGACTGCCCTGCAAACACCTCGGTGCCATAATTTTGAATATCCAAGGTTGGTGCTTCGACAGGCTGCCTGCCTCTTATCGGAATGGCCCATTAATGAGCCTTGACAGCTTAACTGTCTCAGATCTTGCAGTAGCCAACCCATCGGAAAGGTGTGGACATGTTGCGGCTAATGTGAGTAAAGATTGCAGAGCCACAGACACCGCACTCCCAGACTTGAAACATCGGGAAAAGTCGGGAATAGGAGTGCTGAAAGCAAAAGTCCCAGCTGAATTTGAAAGGGGAAAAAGCTTATCCTACTACTGCACCAGCCAAGATAACCTGAGTGCTACAACTGCTTAGAGAGTGCAGCTCCATGCTTCAAGAAGGGTCACCATCTGTTGGCGGTCTGGGCCTGTGTGGCTCACCCACAAAGGGGTGCTCCCGTCAGCGCAAAAGACAATCGGGCAACTGCAGCGTATCCAATGTTTCTGGGCTGAAACGACACCGCCCTCTTCACCAAGAGCATTGGCGTGCACGGGGACGTGGTTTGGAAAAGGCAGCCATACTACGGAAGACATACAATGTTGCACCAACATGAGCAAAAATTCAAGATGGGGGAAAGGATTCTGAGATCTAAAATATTTAGATAGTATCTGATTTTAACATGTTCCAAATTGTAATATAGTGCATTCTGTGGGACGTGGTTGTCCGTGAATGTTCCCTTAGAACCACCTTCAACCCTTCCTTGCTTTGTGTCTGTTTGGTTTGAATGAATGATTGACATGTTTCCAATTTTCATGAAACTATTATGTACTCCTTGTATTCTACACTTTCTGGTATCCTCATCACATCGCAGAAGTGTACAGTATCCTACACGATTTTTTGGCCCAAACACAACATTCATACTTTGTTTCACTTTACTCATACAGATTAGTACTGGAAAACAGATTTACCATTTAAGTAGAGGCCCAACTGGCCCACACTAGCTCATTCCATTACATAGTATCTTAAGTAAAAACTAGTCAGGTGCGAAAAAAAAAAATTTGGCAACTGCGCATTTGTGTAAGCTGTGTCAAGCTCTCTACCTATGAAGCCACCACCTGAACTGCACCGGTCGTGTTGATTATTTAGAGTTCCCTCACCTACATCTTTTTTTCCATAAATCATCAGAACTTTCTGTGGTGCCTCAGTGAAACATATGATCTCCCAGGTCACGCGACCCCCCGAGGTCACGTGACCCCCCCCCTTCCAAAGTCAACTGACCCCCCCCAGTAACCTTCCCTCCTCCTCAAGAGCTGCGCTCTAGTTCGGCGTTACAGGGAGTTGTAAACGGCTTTTTTTTTTTTCAATACTCTTATGTGCATGAAATGATGAAGTCTTATGTGCATGTGTTTATTTTTAGGTTTAGAGTGGCTATGCTATGCTTGACTTTTTAACTGCAGGGTGGCATCACACAAGCACCTTATTTGCTTTGATGCGCCCGTTTTCTTAAAGAGAGCCCATGTCTGTGGTAATAAATTTATTAGTAGTTGTTCTGGCCGGAAGCGGCAACCCTGGCCAGAGCCGCCAGCCTTCTTCATGCAAAGCAACCACGGTCGTCGAGCACGATGCCATCACGCCGACTAGGGTCGGACGTCTGTAACCTGTACCCTAACAGTGTATTCACATTTCTCGTCTCCTATAAAGAACCCGA